AATTCATTATGCACAATTCATTATGAATAAGATTTAGTTGAGGGTGCTTAGTCAATTTTATTCAGCAGAAATGTATAATTCTCCCTTCATTAATAAAGTTTGAAATAACAATACTGAGTGCACCTAAATTGCTTCGCTTTGCTGTCTGATTCATGATTAAAATATGCAGTATATTCAGGAGTAAATTGTAACAGAATTCATCAGACTATCACACTAATCCCACTGATGAATTTATCTAAGTTAAATATTAAACGCTGTATCCTTAATTATATATGAATGCTAGTGTGTAGGACACAAACCTCAGGCTGTACAATGAAGACAGCTGGTAAGCTGTAGCAGATTCCATGACACCCAAAAGACTAAGCTAACAAAATCCTCCACCAGTGAAGTCTGTGGGAGTTTTGCCAAGGATGTTATATGCTAATAACAATACATACAATAAAATAAAATATAAAAATAATAATGCCTAGCTCTTAGCTATATAGAACTTTTCATCAATAGCTTGCAAAGTGATTTACAGAGATCAGTCTCATTAGCCCCATTTTATAGATGGAGAAACTGAGGCACAGAGGTGATGCACTCTATCCACTAGGCCAGTGCTTCTCAAAGCCGGTCCGCTATTTGTTCAGGGAGAGCCCCTGGTTTGTTTACTTGCCGCGTCCGCAGGTTCGGCCAATCGCGGCTCCCAGTGGCCGCAGTTCGCAGCTCCAGGCCAATGGGGGCTGCAGGAAGGGCGGCCAGCACATCCCTCGGCCCACGCCGCTTCCCAGGTTGACCCCAGGGACAGAGATAGGGCCTGTGCTTTAAAAGGAATGTGTTGCTATCAGTAAGAGCTAAAATCATGGTCCCTACCTTGATAATAGACTGTATTTCTCAATGCTGCTGATTGCTGTTTCTGAGGTTTAGATGAGGGGGGGGAAAACAGACCTGAAACTAAGAGCAGCTGAACGTCCGGCACCTCAACTATTCTTTTAATTAAGTCTGGTTATGAAATGATACGTACTTGGCAGCAACAACATCCGTTAATTGTAACTGCTTGTTCTGAATTCATTACTAGATTGAATTACACAGGCACTAAATGTTCCTTTCAACACATTTTTTTTCTTTCTAATAACATAGTGAATCATGACGGACAATTTCAATGGAAGCCAGTGCAGCCCAGACCAAGCTATAGGATGAGAGCAATTAGAGATAGAAATGTATCTTAAGGCCCGAAGTCGGCAAGCATGGAAACACACGCTTCAGCGGAATCATGTGGGTAATCCCCACTTCTATTCAACTTCATTGACTTCAGTAGGACTTAAACATGTGCTTAAGTGATGGATTGAGGCTTAGCTCACTGGGACCTTTGACTGAGCATGATATAGCCCCTTGACAAAGGACACATCAGAAATTAAACTGATACGACACTTGCCATCAACAAAAAGGCCATGCACTTCTCCGGTTATTTAATTTTTTTAGAATAATTTTGCTGGGCTCGTTATGCATTTAATCATGTTGAAATAATTCTTCAAATGATAAAAACTACTAATTTAAGAAAGAAAATCAGTGGCATTGCCTAATTATATATGTTTCCAGAGAGTACCAATGCTTTAATGTAAATGTGTATTTCACAGAGGTACATACTCTAAAGCAGTGTTTCCCAAACTTGGGACGCGGCTCGTGCAGGGAAAGCCCCTGGCGGGCCGGGCCATTTTGTTTACCTGCCACGTCCGCAGGTTCGGCCGATCGCGGCTCCCACTGGCCGCAGTTCGCCACTCCAGGCCAATGGCAGCTGCTGGAAGCGGCGTGGGCCAAGGGACGTGCTGGCCACCGCCCCCAGTGGCCTGGAGGGGCGAACCGCAGCCAGTGGGAGCTGCGATTGGCCGGACCTGCGGACAGGGCAGGTAAACAAACCGGTCCAGCCTGCCAGGGGCTTTCCCGACACAAGTGGCATCCCAAGTTTGGAAAACACTGCTGTCAAGCAATGGTACCCAAACTTTTCCTGTCAGGCCCCCCTTACCAATAATGGAATCTGTCTGCATCCCCCCTTCTTTATTGCACGGTTGGCTCAGCAGAAGAGCTTGGGCTGAAGGCAGAGCTGGGGGCTGAACTGGGGATGGGGGAACAGCTGGAGCTAGATGTAGAGCTGGCCTGGGGGTGGAGAGGGAAGGAGGGCAGAGTTGGGCAGGGGCAGAGCAGAGCTGGGGCTGGGGCTGGAGCAGGGGGTGCTGGCCCAGGCCCTGCTGCATGCCCTCCCCAGTTTGGGGACCAGTGCTCTAAAGACTTGCTGGCAGGTAGGACAATATGGGTTAGAGCTTAGTTTCAGATAGAAATCAGGTGGATACAGGTACAAAATAGGGCAGAATTTGGTTCAGTCTGTGAAATAAGTTTAAATGCCTCAAATACAGTATCTTCATGCCCTGATTATGTTGGAGCATCAGATCTCTGAGCTGCTGAGTTTTCTTTGTTTTAGGTCACAGGATCAAACGCCGGACAATACAGGAATACTTAATTCCAAGTCATGCATTGTAACCCTCTCTCAGACAATTGCAATGATAAATAAGCCTGGTTGTGGTTTACTATTTATAAACTGTGAGGTAGTTAGGATAAATACAGGCCGAAGTTCTTAAATATCCATGTGAAGGATGAGCCATACAAAATGTGTAAACACCCATTGCAGTCACATCGTGCTCTATTTGCACGTATTTGTGTGTGCAAATAAGGTGATTGCATGTGCAATTTCCTGAATATTTATATGTTTACAATGAATGCATTTGGGGCTTTGTCCTGCAAAGTACAGTGTAAGATTGGAGCTTTGCAGTGGTGCATATATAACAAAGCCCTTTTGAAAATTTGGACCATAATATCATTTTCATGGTACTTTAGTAAGATTTTAAAAGACACATTAATTTAGACTGCCAATCAGGTCTGAAACTTTATTAATTTAGGCTTTGATTCAGCAAGGTACTTAAATATATATTTAACTTTAAGTAAAAGACTGGTCCCATTGAAGCCCATGGGAATGTCTATAGGACAAGTTAATGCACAGCAAGCTATGGTGTACTGGCCATGTGGACACTGCACCAAAAGTTCCCTCATGTGTTTTGTGCACTATAGTTTCAAACAGCAAAAGGTCAAACACACAAGGGAACTTTTAGGTCCTACGTGGACAGTTAGAGTTAGGCATGCTAGTGTGCTGTAAATTTATGCCCCAGTTTGCCGAGTACTAACTCATGGTGTAGACAAGCCCTAAATGTAAGTACCATGCTGATCTCAGGTGTTAGTTCATAAAGTTAGGCCCCACACTTTAAATTAGGTCCCAATTAATTTAATTCACAGCATCTAAGAAGTTAGAATTGCAAAAAAATATCTAGGCCATCTAGATTATCCCATGAGGTAACATTGCAGCTTATTACATTGTCTAGACCTGTCCGGATCCAGGGCCGGTGCAACCTATTAGGCGACCTAGGCGGTCACCTAGGGTGCTAGGATTTGGGGGGCAGCATTTTCTTCGGCAGTCGCCGCTGGCATTTAGGCGGAGGGACCTGGGGTAGGGGGGCGCGGGGAGGGCCTCCTGCAGCAAGTAAGGGTGGGGGGCGGCATGCAGGGGAACTCCCCGCCCCAGTTCACCTCTGCTCTGCCTCCTCCCCTGAGTACACCACCCTGCTCTGCTTCTCTCCCTCCCAGGTTTGTGGCGCCAAACAGCTGATTGGCACTGCAAGCCTGGGAGGCAGGAGAAGTGGAGCAGCGACGGTGTGCTCGGGGAAGAGGCGGAGCAGAGGTGAGCTGGGGTGGGGAGCTGTCGCACGGCTCCCCGGGCAGAGAGCTGCCACGGGGGAGGCGCCTCAGGGCAGGGGGGGGTGAGGAGCTGCCGCGGGGGAGGTGCCTCAGGGTGGAGGGAGGGGGTTGGGGAGCTGCCGCAGGGGAGGCGCCTCAGGGCGGAGGGAGAGGTGGGGAGCTGCCGCAGGGGAGGCGCCTCAGGGCGGAGGGAGAGGTGGGGAGCTGCCGCAGAGGGGGCGCCTCAGGGCGAAGGGGGGGAGAGAGCTGCCGCGGGGGCGGGCACCTCAGGGCAGGGGTGGGGAGCTGCCGCAGGACTTGGGGCGGGGGAGGGTGCAAGGTGGAAGTTTCGCCGAGGGCGCGAAACATCCTTGCTCTGGCCCTGTCCGGATCTAAATGTCCCAAGTGACGTGTCCACGATTTTCTGTAGGAAACTAAACCAAATACCTTTCTGGAAATGTTTCCTGATATTCAACCAAACCCTTTCCTGTTTAATCCCCTCATTCCTAACTACACCCATTGTCCCACCCTAAATAATTCATTCCACTGTTCGATATTTATGCCCTTTGAATATTTAGAGAGTGCTATCACGTCGGCTGGATTTATTTGTAACTTTTCTTACATGGTGACACACCATCACACTCCAATAAACAGGATTACATTGATTCCTCTCTTTTCGTCACTAAGCTTTTTTTATTCTTTCGTCATTATCTGAGTCGAGTATATGAAAGAAAAAAGTCTGAAAACTCTTTGTATCTAGTGTGAAATGTTTAAAGATGGCAGATTGAAATTTCATTTTAAGCAAAGTCTTTTATGGGATTATGTAAATCATTTACAGTAGCAGTGCAATTCTTTACTTATACATAGATCATGTAACTGCAGAACAAGTTTTAAAAACTTTTATTTAAGCTTGTTGGTGCCTTTGGATATAGATATGTATTGATATCAAGGACTCTTCTACATGCCAGTTGATGAGCATTGTAAAAAGGGCAATAATGTGTAGCCCTACAAGAATCCATTCTAATGCTTAGCTCCAGGTGTTAATTGCAAAGAACATTGGAAATTCAAAGGCAAACAAAAGAACAATTGTTATTTAGGCCAGCAAAATTCTGCTTGCTACTCATTCAGTGTTAGGGATTCAGCAGGATATCCATACGATATAGACAAAGTTGGACTTTATCACTAGTTTTATCAATAGAAGAAAAAAAGTAGTGCTTAATGTAATAAATATCTGTTGTTGAATAACCCCTGATCTTTGACTTCCTTAGTCAAAGTGATGAAAGACTAAGTCCGTAGTGCTGTATTGTAAGACTCCATTTGGCTTGGTCAATTTATTACACCCATTTCAGCAATTGCATTGCACATGGTAAGTCACCCAGGTTGTTGCTTTGCTTTATTCAAGTACTCAGACATATTTTGCAGTAAGCCTTAGTTCCCTGTGTAAATGTACTTAATCGGTGACATTGGCGCCTCTGAAATCAAGCTGTCTGTCTCATTGAAGGTATCCATTTCACCGGAGTGATTGGTGTTTTTTATCCTGTTTAGCCGGGACTGTAATCTTTCATGTTGTTTTCTCAACTCTGAATAGGAATGAGAGAAAGTGTGGAATATCGAGGTTGCTGGGAAAGCCATAATTAGAATCCCACTGAGGATGCTACTCAGCGCCACCATCTGGCCCGAGACACTTCTTGGTACCATATCTCCATATCCCACAGTGGTCATTGAGATGATAGCCCACCAGTATGAGGCAGGAATGCTTGTAAATTCAAGGACCTTCCCAGATTCATTCTCAGCCAGGTAGACCAGGGGAGAAAACAGGGTGACAGCTACACACAAGAAGAGCAAAAGCAGCCCAAATTCTCGGGTGCACCTTCGAACCGTGAGCCCTAAAGTCTGCAGGCCTAATGAGTGCCTGGCAAGGCGCATTACATACAAGATCCTCAAGGCACGTAAAACTCGTAGCACCAGTCCGATCTTCTCCAAATATGAGTTGCTGCTCGGCCTCTCGTCTTCCTCACTTGGCTCGTCATCTACCACTATGAGGGAAACATAATAGGGTGAAATAGCCAAGAAATCAATGATATTTAGGGGGCCTCTGAAGAAGTGACACTTGCTCTTCGCCTGAATAAATCGGAGGCAGAGCTCCAGCGAGAACCAAGCCACGCAGATGGTCTCGATGATAAAGATGTAATAGCACTTCTGAGAACATTCACCCTGGCGCAAAACAAACAGAAGGTCAAATAAATGAGCAATCTCTGAACTGATATCAGAAATCATTAGAGGAGCAGAAATGTGCATTTTCGTGGGTGTACTGGTATTGCGGGAAAACAAACCCAGCAAATAGCTACTTCTATAGCAGGCATGTTACATCCTGTTAAAAAGCTATTCGAGTGAACTGTTGTTATTTTAATTTTATTACTCTTATGAGTCTGAATGGATGAAATTCATCTTTGTGCAAAGGCCCAGCACAAGGCATATGGACTATTTAAGTCCCATTTAAGCCCTGAAAATAGAAATTAATTGAGACTTAAATGGTGCATAAGTCTGCACAGAAGTAAATTTAACCCTAAGTGAGGGATTATTTTATGGATGTTCTGATTCTCTTTCTGCTCTGTGTGTAAAGTACTATACAAAGTGTGGTGACTGCACAGATACTAGGTAGTTTGATGTGATGAAGGGAAATAGCTCAGAGATGGAGAAGACCTACTACATCATTTTTTAGACCTTGTCCCTAGTTGTGCCCTAATATAAACCATATCTTTTCTTTCAGGCTATGCAAGTATGCTATGAACATTAAAATCAAAAGGAAGATTAAATAAAAAAACACTCATCCAGCAGGTGCAACATACCAATGGAGATTTCTGTTCTAGGGTTGATGTCACATGATACCAGTGCTACCTTCTGAGCCACTACATCAAGACAGTTATACAAACGTCAGCTGCCCTGAGCAGTGATGGATTCACTATTTCCCTTGTCCCAGGATGAGCCTAAAAATGTTACCTTCCATGACTTTTTCAACCTGAAGGCAAGAGTCAAACACAACTTGCCTCCCCAGTCCCTTCAGTCACTTAGGAATTGGATAAACTTTAGAAAACATCACATACATGAGAAACTACATTGGGCACTTCACCTAAGTGATAAGAGAGCCAAACACTGGGTCTGCTGACAATGTCCAGATGATCAGAAAACCATCCAGTGCTCACATTAGATACAGTGCATTAGTGCCTCAAAGGTATTTAGAAAGAATTCACTGGACCATAGCAAATTGACACTAAACTGGATAATAATCAGCGTTACTCAGACCCTCAAAGATATTTCCATGGGAGTTAGGTGCCTAAATATATTTGAGGATCTGGGTCCATATTATTCTCTCTCTCTTGAATGCTCCATAGTACCCCTCATTTGCTCTTGCCTTAAAATATGGCCCACTTGGCCCATAGATTAACACATTAAAATCCTTGGGATTACCTTGGGATAGTAAATTAATATGAAAGCTGCTCTTGATGTTTGACTAAAACTGAAATGTTCATTTAAATATTGTGAATAAACCTCTGGAAAACCACTATTGTGACAAAGACTCAAAAGACGTAGGCAATTGCATAATATTTCCACACCAGGATGCTGTAACTGTTAAGGAACACATGCTTTGATGCATTATAGGCCTGATCCAAAGCCCACTGAAGTCAGCAATGGTTTTTGAAGCAGGGCCCATACATTTTCCCTTGCCGAATAGATATTCAAAATGAAGGCATCTCAAATGCATTAGCTGTGCAGTCCTTGGGGGCATAAGAATTCTATTCTTTCCCCATAAATCCAGGATGGTTTCCTATATGAGAACAGGAGTAATGGGTTAGTAAAATACTGTTGTCACCATCAGTTGAAATTTCATGCTGGGATTACACTAATTAGATTGCCAGGGAGGCTGTAATTACAGACCCAGGGGAGCAGCGAGGGAATGCTGGGGAGCAATAATTTCAGCTAATGTTGTTAAGAGGCTTGAAAATGAGACTGAAATATCTGCTGCTCGGGGCTAGATTGTGGCTGCCCTTTTGTGGGTGCAGAAAGGCCTGGAGAAAGTCCAAAGAGTCTTATTTTCCTTCGCACCTGCTGCACAAGGGCCAGCCACAATTGCATGCTCTGTGCTCAAACATAGCTCCCTGGTAACACCTCTAAAAGTTCAGGGAGAGGTAGGAGGACCATCTGCAGAGGGGATCATGAGCTGTACCTGTCTAATGCGAGCACGGTGGGCATGCTTCTTCTGTGGGCCAGTGAGAAAGAAGAGGCACTGAGCCCAATCCCAGAGCACTCTCAGGGGAGGTGTAGCATGTGAGACTGTGCTTTAGGGACACAGTCTGGCCAGAGTGGGACAGTGATTCCAAGCTTAGGAGCTCACCATGTGGTATGAGTTTGGAGGAAACTTAGTGAGAATAAGATCACAGAACTTTCCTCCCCTGAGCTGCCTGCTCTGAGATTGCCCTTGAAGGAGGTGTCCTAATGCTTGGCTCTAGAATAAGCAGTTTGGGTTTTATCTCTAGCTTCAAGATTTAGTCTTGAAAGCAAGCACCTCAGAAGATAATGAGGAATCTGCACTCTTTGTTTTATTCATAGAGGATCAGATTTTAGCCTCATTGAAGTCAGTGCCATGGACTTCAATGGGCTGCGCATTATGTTTGGAGAGTTTGCTGACTTAGCTTGAAGTAATTGCTTATAATCAGCAGTCACAGTGTGCAGAGTTCTCTTTTTCCAAGATGGAAATTATTCTTTCAGCACAGCCTGTACTTTGTCTGCCTGTGGTCACTCCAATGACTTGTGAATTATTCATTATTTTCAGGCGTGATTTAAAATTTTTGCTAACTGGGCTGAATTACAAGTACATCAGCTACTTCATTTAGCTTTGTACATTTGGGCTTATGTGCCAAATGGAGGAATATTACCTAAGATACAATAAAGCCTTCAAGCAGGGTGCTTGTTTTGAGATCCCACATCTCAGGCCCCCCAGCCTTCATGAGTCTCCTCTACCAAGAAACCACAGGAAAAGGAGTCTTTTTGCCAAGAATTTTAGCCATAAAACAAAATGGTCTAAGCTGCCTCCAGAATTGAGACGTGAAATTTTCAGGTACAATTTCTTCAGAACTGATTAGTTTATTTCACTCACACCTCTCCCTCCCACCACTCCAGCCCACCAGAGGTAGATAACTTACATCTGCTTCCTTCCTTTGAAAGCTGAATGATCATCTTCCCAAATGCACTATTACCAATTCCAATGGGAAATAACCTTCTACTTGGACATACTAGGAAATCTTACTCTGCTTTTTTTTATTTCTGCCACTACTTATCTGAGACTTATCTGACATAAAACTTTCTCTTGAGCAGAACAAAAAAAATAGACAAATAATATATAAAATAATAATAATTCCACAGTCCCCATCACTGTGATGGAAGCACTCCTTTCCCTGCTTCAAACAGTCTATTGAAATAAAAGATTTATTGTTTACTTATTCAGCCAATTTATATAGTATAGCTGCAAAAAAAACAACCTCTAAGCCAGGGGTCGGCGATGTTTGGCACGCGGCTCGCCAGGGTAAGCACCCTGGCGGGCCGGGCCAGTTTATTTACCTGCTGACGCGGCAGGTTCGGCCGATCGCGGTCCCCACTGGCTGCGGTTCGCCATCCCAGGCCAATGGGGGTGGCGGGAAGCGGCGCAGGCGAGGGATGTGCTGGTCGCGGCTTCCCGCCGCTCCCATTGGCCCAGGACGGCGAACCACGGCCAGTGGGGGCTGCGATCGGCCGAACCTGCTGCGTCAGCAGGTAAATAAAACTGGCCCAGCCCGCTAGGGTGCTTACCCTGGCAAGCCGCGTGCCGAACGTTGCCGACCCCTGCTCTAAGCAAATGCTCAAAAATATTAAAATACATACACATTATATGCTTCCTGAAAATAAAATCTGTCTAGTTGGCTATCTAGAAACACAGGATGAAACCCTGGACCTATTGAAGTCAATAAAAACACTCCCATTGACTTCAATGGGAAAATAATTTCACCCAGGGACTCCATATGTGTGTTTTATATATTAGGTTTTTTTTATATATTAGCCAATATATATATTATGTTTTGTATATAATATTCCTCCCTACCATCAATCTTTCTAGTGTTCAGTAGGTGACAGTCCTATTCCTGAGCTTCTCATTAGAACAAGACTAACATCCAAACTCTAAAGTAGCAAATGTCAGAGGAAAAAAGTAGGAATTAAGTATCAAAGCCAATTTCTCAAAGCATCTCATATTCTGCTTATGAGTGTTACCCAAACTGCATGGAAAATGGCACATCCCAATGGTCCTGCACTATGAAATGATAAAATGTGCACAGATATGAGTCTCCTGTAGTGTAGATTAGGTAAAATGTCAGTTGTCTGGTATCACGGGACAAGGGAAATGATAAATTCCTAGTTTCCCCAGTGCTTTGTTGAAAGAAAGTTAAAAAATATACTTCCAAGATGTACAGTTAATGAACATTCCCATAAATAAAGAGAGACAGTGTTCTAATAGAAAATACTAAAATAATAAACAGGAGTTTTGGAAGTGTTATAAACTCTCCTGCTTCAGAGCACAAACCAAACTCTAACTAATGGGGACTAAGAAGAATTTTTTTCTATGGGCAGGTTATTCCATAACTGCCCACTGCAGGCCTTCTTACACATTCCTCTGAAGCATCAGGTACTGGTCTGGTTGGCGATGGGCTACTGGACTAAATCAGCCACTGGTCTGACCAGATGACAAGAATTTGTGCAGCAGAGTGTGTGTGTGTAATGTATGGAGGAGCAGCTTCCTAATTCCACATGAAATAGTCATTCCTTGCAGAGTTTCTTTATGTTAAAGAATAAAGGATTTCACTTGTTACATTATTTATCATGGCCACCAATTTCTTTGTTTTGTGACAAGGTAGAAAGATGTTTCACAAGCCCAGTACCTAAAGGGTTAACTCAGACCCTTGCCTGTCACATGGGTGTTCGGGGTGGGGCTAGGAAGGTGAGGAGAAAGTGGTGATGGCGAAAGAGTTGAGAAACTGGAAAGGTCTTTAGCAATTGGGGCCCCCTGTTCTGAGTAGTTGAGTGGCCTGAGAAAAGAGACTGAAATTCTGCTGCTGGTGAGAGCAGTATTTTTCTTTCCTGGCTGGTGGTTTTATCCATCGGCCTACATTTTTATTCAGAACTTTTCT